AATGTCTTTCCTTTTCTTGTGCAATTATGTCAAAATTAAGGCTCTGCGAGTGCATGCAAGTGATTAAGGAGAGCAAGTGTAACACGGAAGTTCTGATTGTCCCTGAAACTGTTATTACAGCCCTACATATTCATGGTTAAAAAGTGTAGATTTGTTGAGCTTGAAAATTAAATTGCAGTACTCAAATATCCTTATCCCAAACTGAGTAAAGTGTCTCTTGAAGATTAATTTCAGCTCATTCTTAGAGGTATACTTGTGGATATCAGGATCTTTTTTTGGAGGTATAGTAATGATTCCATACTCTGAGCTTGACATTTTACACATCCAAGTGTATTTTCATTCAGCAAATCCCTCCTTTTCCACCAGATGTACTGCTGGGTAACACTAAAGGGCAATTTGGTAGCTTGTGTTGACCAAGGAGAGGGATTTACTTTCTCCATTTTTCTCTCTTCTACTTTCTGAGAGACTGTCTTTTGGGGATGGACAGCTGATTTAATTTTGTGGTTTTGTTTTGTTTTTTCTTTCAGTGAGATCACTCTCTGGAGGTAATAATCAGCACAGGTTGCATTCTTCTGGGATGGTATCCACTTTGGCTGCAATACTTACCCACTTGCAAGACCTGTTTTCTGTGTGCTCCTTTGTCAGAATCAGGGAGCTGATAATGATTTTCTACCTTAAATATCCTGAGGAGCAGACAAGAGGAAAGACTTATGTGATGGCAGCTCTCCAGTGATCCTGCTGCAGTATTCATAATGCAAAATTTCCCAGAGAGGGCTGAGAGCTGAAAGTCTGTAGCCAACTTTGGGAGATTATGTTTTGGTGAGACTGGGCTCCCAGGGATGCTTGTATGTTTTGTATACTTTTTCATGAGCCATCATTGTAATGCTGGGGAAGCTACCTTTATTTCGTGCATTATCACTACCTTGTGAGAAAAATGCATCCCACTGTTAACTGGAATCTGGTATGGGAATATGTAAATAGAGGCAAAAAGGTAAAAATGCATGGCGATTGTCTCTCGTTTGGCAGGAATGATTTCCATTATCTCAGCAAAATACTTTGTTCTCCCTGTCAGTCTTGCAAAATAATGTACCTCCCAACTCCCAACAAAGAGATTAAATAACATCACGGATTTTTTTATCTCTGTGTCCCAGTTTATAGCTTTTTAGTTATTATTAGGTTGTGTATTACTTAGACGTAGAAGGAATGATGCACTTTCTGTACTGGGTGAAATTTGGGGTAATTTCAACAGGATGCTGAACTTGCTGAACTCCATGATGCAGAGTTGGAAACTCTGTAATCTTGTCTGCTAAACAAATTGATGACCCTTAATGGTAGACTGCATAATACTTTTTCTTTCAGTACTGACCTGACTGGACAGATGGCTAGTTCTGTTGATAATGTATCCTTCACAACTTACATTACTTTTATTTCTTATTTCAAAGGGTTATTGAATTGTTTATTGATCTATTTCATTGCTGCTGTTCCTCTGGTTCTTTTTGATGTCTTGTCACTTAATTCAAAATGTAATGCCAAGCTTTTAAATTCAGGGTTGTGCAGGAAGCCGTACTTGTGTAAATATTAGGGTATGTTTCTCTTTTGAGTGAGAATGTACTAGATTGTCCAGTAAATATTGCTGCCATCAGAGTTTGATCCTTTTCATGCCCCTCACTTCACATAGACTCATCCCTCTCTTCCTCTTAAGAAAGCTGAAATGTCTGGGGTTTTATCTTTTTAGGTTTTATAAAAGTCTAATCTCCTATTATGCAATTAGAAGCTTACAGACTAGTTCCCTGATTAAGAAAATAAATTTGATTAATTTTCTTTCCTTTAATATTTTCCATGTATTTCTCTTACATTTGTTAAATTTACTAGCTAAAAGTGTCTGTTGATTCCCTCCCTCTGCCTCCCATTAATTTATTCTATCACCTTTTGAAGCTTTTTAAACTTCTTTTTAAAATCATCAGTGGCAAGGAGTTCCATAGTTAGTATATTTATTTCTTGGAAAAGTGTTTTAATTTTTAATCCTGTCACCTGAATATTCATGGACTTTCATACTATATTTTAAATTTTGGGGTAATAACTCTTAATTATTTTTTAAGCCTTGCATGATATTAAATATATTTGTCATAACCTGCTTCTTTTTTCCATTATTAAGATTATAGCCTTTTAGCTTATTTCTTCCTTCACAGAAATGGTTCCATATCTTTGGTTATCTTGGTATCTCTTAGTATCTCTTCTATTTCTAGATTTTGCATTTGATTTAGCCTTTCTAGTCCATTGGCTGATCTTCTACCATCACTGTGTACCCACAGCAACAGTAGGGGGTTTCCTGATACCAGATTAATTTTTGTGATAAAGTGATGTAGAAGTGTGTTCAATGGCAGACTAAAATAAGACTTCCCACTGGTGATAAGGCAGGTTTGGAGCTGTTTCATTTAGATGTACAGCTTCTCCAGACAAATGGCTTTGCCAATGAGGCCACCCTGCCTGTCTGCACTTGCCCCACTTTTAGCCCATCTTCCCTTCCCATAAGGGAGCAAAACTCGGCCACTGTTTTCCCAGTGCACCTAGGATGCAGCTCTGAGTTAGTTACTGGCCAAGTGTGTATCATGGGGCTGCTGAGTGACCAAATCATATAAATTGGCCTGTTTGAGGTATCAGCCTCATCTGGCTCAAAAGACAGAAGTTTGTGCCACAAAGCTGTCAGATTCATGTATTGCTGGTGTTCACTCTGTGAAATGCAGGACAATTTTTTCTTTTTCCTTTTCCTTTTTCTAAAGAAGTCCATAAGCCACTCTTTCCTCTATCTGCCCCCAGCCCAAAATACTGAGAATGAGCAACAATATTGCAGAGATGGGGGGTGGGGGGGAAGATTTTAATATTTAAGGCTGCAGAAAGTAATCTGTTGAATTAGAAATGGTCAAAGTTAAGGCTACGTGTGCAATGTTAGATCCTTCTTTTGTGCATGCTGCCCCTCAGTCTTTGGTCACTTGCATACTGTTTTCTTTTCTGTAAAACATCAGGTATTTCAACAACACCAGAAATGCTGTAAAATCATAGAGTAGAGCTAGATGTCTTTATTGATGAGATTCCTGCTGGCTTCACCCTTTTGTTATTATATTTCAGTCTGTAGCTTGATGACACTGCTTCTCTCTCCCATCTCATTGTAAACTGTCATTCCCTACCTTTCGAAAACCTGCTTCAAATGTAACTGAATAAAAAGCAGTGGAGAAAACCACATTAGGAGGGGGAAAAGGAAAGCAAATCCTCAGCTGTATGAAGCTGCCACTAATGTTCAGAAGCTGACAATGACGAACTGTTCATCTAAGTACAAATAGTCTTCACAGTCTCTGTGTTTCTTGCCTTGTGAAACAGTACTCATTATTTTTTTTTTTTTTCTTTTTAAATATTTGGTGATCAAATCATTTACTTTGTCTACTGTAAGCCTCTGTTGCAGTCACTCTTCACTTTGCTGTACATGAAAATCAGGAGCCTGCAGACTGGTGTGCAGTGAAATGAGCAGTTAGCTGTAGCCCAGCCTGGTGTTTTGTGATCTGCCATGTATTTTGCAGTGAAAACATCAGGATAGAATACTGAAAAATTGACAGGTTTTCATTGACAGGGATTTTAATCTTTTTCACTGTTTACATACTGAAGATGAGGACTTTGCTATGACACAAAGACACTTCAGGAAGATTTCAAACAGCAGCAGCAGCAAAAAAAATATTCTCTTTGGGGATGAAAATGTATCATGTAGGCTGTTTTGTCATTTTAAAGTTAAAACATTTCTTTTCCCAAGAGTATTAGCTGAGGAAAATCTCATATTTTTTAAAGCAGTTAAGTAGCCAAGAAGTCAGTAATATGTATAAAATGTGTAATAAATGTTGACTTCTGTGCCTTTACTCCACAATACCTTGTCATACTTGACATAGCATCCATGCATAGACTAAGGACACATCATTTCTATTGGGTTTGTGAGAGGACTGGGCTTGTGTTTGTGAAGGTTTGTACTGCTCCATTAAAAAAAGAAAATGGTTGCTATTCAAAAATGATTAAACCTCTATCTCCTGATTATGATTTTTTAAAATACCTTCACAAAAGAAAATCCATTAAGAAAATAGGTACTGTGCTGTAGGAAATCTCAGCAAACAGAAGTGCACAACGAAAGTTGTGTCTTTGGGTAATCAAAGCTGCTGCTGCTAGCTCCTGCTCTTTCAGGTTTCACTAATTGAAGTCGATCGACTTAAATCCATTGTTTGTATTAAGAAAGGGGGAGGGGAGGAAAAAGAAAGGCTCTGGGGTTGGGTTTTTCTTATTTTCTTTTTTCTGGTATTGTCTCTGTCAACATGCCACAGTTTCATCTGAAACAAGGGATGCATGAAGCTTTTCAGTCTGGGTTTTGTTCCCCCGTATTTTTTATATTTGTTTAATTTGCTGACTGGCAGCTTTAAAAAATCACTTAATCAGCATATCTGGCCCAAATACTAGGCTTGACTTGAACATACTGACAGTGTCTTGGCTCATGGACAACTGAGACTAGTTTGAATTTTTGTTCTGTGATCTGTATAGGTAGAGGTGACGGAAGAAGAAAATAATAATCTGAAAATCTGTCTTGCTCCTTTTCTAGCAATGCTGCAGAAGTCAAGCCCCAAATGCTTCTTTTGATCTCGTTTGTAACCTCATGTAGCTTTGGAGAGTCACTTGTGACTTTTAAGACCCTTTGTGGGAAGAGGAGCAGCTCTCTAATTCCACTGCTCAGTTTTGCAGGCTTGTGTTTGAGTCACTTGGTCCTTTTGCCCTCTCTGAAGCAGCAGTATATTGCATTTACTTTTGTGACCTGAGGAGCTGCCAACCAATGTCATCACATTGGAAGTTCTGTCTGACCAGCACAGAAAGCATCTTTTCCCTCTCTGAATCCAGGGAAGTTATCTGAACTAATTACTGTGGCTAGTCATACCATAACAAGATACAAAATAACTTACTGCCTTATTTTTTTCTAGGTACTCCACATCTGCATTCTCCAAACTAAGCAAAGTAGGGATCCAGCATCCTCCACCTCTTCCTTTCATTGGAAACCTGCTCTTTTTCCGTGAGGTAGGGTATGTTTTCCTTTGTATCAATCAGAGTGATGGGAAAAGTGGATAGGAGGCAGGAGGAATTGAAGGGAATCCTACAGTTCACTGGTACCACCTCTTCAGGCATGTCCCTCTGGAAAGGACAAGCAAAACAGCTTTTTGAATGAATTGGTAGAAACACTTGTGTTAAAGCAGCTCTAATACCAGGGTAAAGTACTTGAGGGAAAGAAAATGTGTAAGCTCCTGCAGTTAATTACTTGAGCTTTTCCAAGAAAGTTCATGCCCTCAGTGAAACAAACTTAGTTATGTGAATAGAGCAGATTATGTTAACTAGCCCCAACTGGTTTGTTCTGAGTGGTTTTGGCTCCTACAACCTTTCTGTTTGTTTGCACTTTTGCTGATTGTACACATTTATTTTAAAGCCTTTAATGTTGCTTGCTCCCAAGCAGTAACTGGAATTAGGTACTGCTCAATGTTGTTGCTCTGTGCCACAAATATTAGGGCTGTGAGGAAGAGGAAGTGGGGTCATTTTGCCTCCAGATTTTATTCCCTTGTTTTTCTTACCCATACTCTTTCAATAGACTGCTGATGCTGTGTTTTGTTCCTTGTTCCATTTCAGTGGTATTGCTGAGGGTCCAGGATATCTTAATAATGAGGAGCTGCCATTTCTCTGGTTGGATCTTACAGTAAAATCTCTCCAGTGTGTCTCTGTTCCAGCCCAACAACTTTTCAGGAAATCTGGGCCAGCTCCAGCTGCTGCCCAGTTTTCCCTTTTAAGTGCATGGTCATCAATATCCATGCTGAGATTTGAATTATTAACGAGAATATATTGCCTCTTACCTTGGTCTTCATGGTGATTGTTCTGTCAATATCTGACTCATTATTAGATAAAACCTTTTAAATACCAGTTTTACATGTACATCTGATTTCATTTAGAAAATAGCATAAAAGGTAGACTTAATCTGCTCTAGATTAATTTGAGCTGGAATTGGCAGGGTGACTTTAACTTACAAGGGATTCTGATGGTGTAGAATGCAGACCAGTTCACTCTTTGGGTTTCAATTCAGCTGGGTGGCAGAAAGCCACTCATTCTGTAGCTCTTTAGTGGTGAAACCCAGATATCATTAGTTACCTACTAACACTTGCTGTTAGGTAAAGGTGCCTAGAGACTAAGTTAGTTTGTTGTGTTTTAGGTGGGCTTGCCCTGTACCAGCATAGAAGTGTAAAGGTTTTGGGAAGTGACCCAAAATGATCGTAAGATCCGTTAGGCAAATTTCATTACTAGAATAGCATTCATTAAGTTAACTTAAATAAGACTAATTCAAAAAGCCTTGATTTTTCTACCCTTTAGGAATAAAAATAAATTAAAGGTAGCTGAGAAATTGTATCTTGGGATACCAAGAAATAACCATTTTGGAACAGAGTCGAGTGGTGCAAAGCCACAAGCACTGCCAGGCTATGTGTCCAGCACTTTGGCACTTCACCACCCATCTTCTCTACCATGCTATCGCTGCCAGTAGGGATGGGAAGAGAGGAGCCCAGGCTCTTGGTAATTTTTCTTCCTCCCCTCATGTATTTTGCCATTTTTTCTGGATCTGCTGCTGAGGCTGCTTTCTTAGAATAGTGCCCATAGCAATGGGCCAGTAATGGGAGCCCTGCTTTTATATTGCAGGCTCTTGTCTATGAGAGCACTTTCAGGGACACAAATGCTCTCACTGCAGTCAGAAGAGGACATCATCCACTTTCCATTTCCCAGCATGGGAGAACCATGGCCTGCCCATCACATTACTGGAAAGAGGGATGGTTTTAGGGGCTTAGCTGCTAGGAACACAGCTGTGCATGAGTAGCAGCATGTTGGGGTTAGGTTTATTATAATTAATTAATTAATTAATAGATAGATAGATAGATAGACAGATAGATAAATAGATAAATAAATAAATAAAACTTTTTTTTTTTTTTTTAATAGGAAGGAAAAAAAAGGTTGATTTGTTCTGTTGCTCCATCTATAACATTAAGAAGTTCTTGCCTTTCCATGTTTATGCAACCATTCTCTATTCCACCCCCGAAACAGCAGTTTGGAGAGTCTCCCTTTTAAACAGGCTGCCTCTTTCGTAGCATTGCTAATCTTGTGCAGGAAAAACATGAGCCACACTCCCATTAAATCATCAAACTAGTGCTTTCCAACCATGAACATTTATTTCAAAGGAATTAATGAATGGTGACTAAGAGGAATGAATTGATATGTGCTGTGTGGGAATCTGCATATGTGTAATTCGTGCATTTCCTGTGTTGAATTTGGTCTGTAAATTAACAGGGGTTGAAAAGCCCTGCACACAAGTGAGATCTGGAAGATAAAAGGAAATCAAGAAGCTTCAACATATAAAGCCCTGCAGTCTAAAAAAATGTCCTCATCTCATGGATTCTCTCCTAGAATATGATTGCTAGAAATGTAAGGGAAAAAAATAAAGCAGAAGATGATGTCCCTTTGACATAATAGAGTAAATCTAGGACCTGGGAATTTAAGAAAGAACATTAAATGTCCAAAAATCTCAACAAAATTGTGTAAGCAGTATTTTACAATTTATAATGGTATAAATTCAAGAGTTTGCTTGTCTTCTCCCTTACTTGTGTGTAAGTCACTTCCACTGAAATAAATGGAGTTTCCTATTTTGCTGCACTGTGCATGTAAACAGAGCTTCAGGCCTTACCCTTTTTTTGCAATTCTCTTGTAAATGTGCCTGAAAACAAAGGAACAGTGCAAGCAGGATTTGACCAGTAGTGCTGGGTTGTGGGGTATTTAATAAACTTTCAAAGGTATTTTAAACAAAAAAAAAATATTAATGAGATTGTTGTTTGTTTTGTTTTTTATTAAAGAATTATTTCAGCAATTCCTTGAACAGTGTATTTTCTTTGAGTAAAATAATAGTAACTGGTAATATAGTGTCTCTGAGAGAGGACAAGGAAGTGTGGAAAGTAAAGGGGCTAAGGAGAATGCAACAGGAAAGACCTATCTCCATCACAGAAAAAGAGAGTTTAAGAGCTGGCTTGGGGAAAACCAAGTTATTTTACTGTAAGTCACTCCTTCTCTCTCAAGTAAAATAAAGGGAGATAATCACACTCTGAAACTAAAACATATCCGAGTTAATCGGCTTATCTCAACAATGAGAAGATAGGAAATTATTACAGTTCTGCAGCTGGGAAATTATCTGAGTCCAAGATATTAGATTAAAAATTCTTCCATTGCATGAGAACAATTTGTGGTGGGTAAGTCTGATGTAATAGTAAATATGATTAGGCTGCTTAAAAAAAAGCAGCATGTTCAATTTTTTCCAATAACTGAGCAGACTTGCAGCCAACAGACTGCTGTTTTGCTACAAATTCCTGACTGCTCACCTCTCCATGTGCTGCATTTTTCCTATGAGTCTGGAAAAACGTGAGGGTTGTTTGTGATAGCTGTGTAATGGTTGATGCAGGGGTATTCACAGCATGGACTTTCACACATGGATCTGTATGGGCTTTATAGCAGTAGATTGCAGAAAAATTAAACCAAACTCTTTTACCAATTCCCAGGCTAATGATTTTATTACGTGACAAATGCTCTGAAAACTGAGAAGCCACATATCTGCATCACCTTTTCTCTCACTTGACCTGTTGCTATGGCTGTGCTGTGTTTTTCTCCCCCTTTCCCATTCCATTCCTAAAATGACAGCTATGCTGTTTCTAAATGTCATTGACTCTGACATTTGCACGGCTCTGGTCACCTGGTACTGTACCTGTGTGCACTGCTCCCTACCCAGCCTCCTGGAGAGCTGCAGCAGCTTTGGGGCTGCCCCTGATGTGTTGGGGTGGTGGTAGGTGTGCGGGTTGCTGCCTTGTTTTGCTCCTCAGTAGGTGGGGATGTGCAGTTGCGTGCAGCTGAGTGATGTGCTTTGGGTCCTTACAATGGCGTGATCATGTGTTGCTTTCCTCCTATTACTCCTAGCAAGCTCCAGTGATGCTTTTGACTGTCTGTGTGCTTGCATCCCTGCCTTGCATGTTAATGAAAGACATCACTCTCTTTAGCCCCTCTCAGCTTGGACAGGATACTCTTTGTTTACTCTGTTTATTTCAGTCTGGCCTACTTGTAGATTCTGGGCTACCCCGGGGCGGCCCATTTCTGCTGAATGGAAGTGGGGGCTGTGTGGGTGCTTTGTCTTGCTTTCAGTTTGGGATCTGGCTGGGCTGTGTTGTTTTATGGCTGATGGGTGGGAGTGAAAAGGCGGGAGTGCCGGGAGGAAGCAGAGAGCAAATATTATTTTTTTTCTTTGCTACGCATCTGCCAAAAGCATCCTTTGAGTTGGACGTAAAGGAAAATAAAAGGCAGAGTCCCTTGCAGGAATGAAATTACCCCATGTCTAATTTTTAGCCTAGAAAGCACTGTGTGGGTGCTTAGAGAGAGAGGCTGCAGTGTTTACTGCTCTGGAATTTAATGACACAGCATTCAAACCTAAACAAGGTTGAAGAGAGGCAAACAGTGAGGGGAGCAAAAAGGGGGGAAAGGGAGGAAAAGGAGCTCTCGGGCTCTGGACCTGGATTGAATTACAAGAATAATATGACTTATATTGACAGTGAAAGCCTGCATATGGTTTTGTGTTTCTTTGTGCAGATAAACAACAGAGGAATGAGATAGGGAGTGTATGTTTTGCAACTTGATAGCTATTTGTGTGGAACCAGAAAGGTAGGCTGTGGCATCACCAACCAACCTGTCTTTGTCTCCCCCAGATGCCTGTGAGCATCTGCTGTGGGCTTCTGACTGTCAGAGCAGACCTCTTGGGGTGATCCAGGTCTTCTCTTATATCCTGGGAGTGCCACCACCCTAGACTGGGAGGCATGTACATGCATGTGGTGCAGATCTAAACCTTGCCATTTCACTGTCTGCAACATGACAGAAAACCTGCAGTTAGATGTGGATTTATGTGTATATTTCTACATCTATAAAGCCGGTCTTTCTTCCCTTTAAAGGTGTGTTTTTTCCTAGTT